GGTAGAATAAGGAAGAAGTCGAGACTACTAGATGGGTATATAGCTTGATTACTTGAATCTTGACTCTTGAGAACTATAACCCGACACTGAACTATAGATATAATATAAACCATTGATGATTGAAAGTTGAAACCCTAATTCGACGCTGAGCCAGTGAACCCATAATATGCACTAAATCCTCCTGCAAGGGCATACATTAATGAAGTGTTGTTTTATAATTACGAGAGAATACAGCCTATTTCTACATAATTTATGTAGTTGACCCTAAGTCACGTTTTTTACCTATTTGTCATGCTTGTTGAACCTCAGGTTCACCCGCGGGTAACCTCCATGAGGTTCGGTCCAAGATAGAACCGCCCGGAGGTTCTAGGTCATGGAACCTTAACCTCCGGGTGGGTGAACCTCCTTGAGGTTCGTGAGGTTCACCCGTGGTTCCTGGCCAGGTCTAGTTGCACCCCAACCATTGGTACTATGCAGTTCACAGATCTTAGCTCTAGTAAGACAGTCAAGCTCTGGGCCTCTTTTCCCACGTATAGGAGGCATGTTTTAGTATATAGAATAAGAAAACAGTGCGAAAATCTCTTCAAAACGCGTTAATATACAGCGCATATGCTAGCGTGTTTAGGACGCGCGAGATTTAATATACTAATACAGTAGGCGGTCTAGAATGGCGGTCAGATCCTAAGGTGGGACCCGAAGTACCCAAGGTCAAATACTCATGGAACACCACTGTACATTGCTTAATCAGCAATGTCCTCACAAATTGGAAAAGGAGCGAATTTTGTCAATTTACGGAGTAGTTAGATAATTTTACATGTTGTAATTTTGCATACACTGTCATATTGTCTATTTCTGTCACATAATAGAACACTACATGATTGATAAAAAATTGCATGAAATGAGGTCGTCTCCCAGGCCCTCCTTCAATCAATCAATTCAATCAAAGCTCAATTAACCTGTTGCAGTCTAACTAATTGCGTATGACTATACAGGCGCTTCATCCAGCTGAAGCAAGAACTCGAAGCCAAACGCCGAGTGGGATCGCTCTCAGAGTATACAGAAGCTAATTGTCAAGAATGCAGAATCAGCTCATTCCTATAACCCGGAAAATCCCACAGATCCCCAAACCTATATATAAGAAATAACATATAATGACTACAGGAGTGCACCCTCCACCTTACTCTCTTTCTGTCTGCACCCTCCCCTGCCTCAGTTTCAACTGATTATGACGTTGTTCTGGCCGGTTTGGCCTAGTTGTCGACTCTGGCTGAGTTCTCTTCATATCATAATTTAGACCAAAGACAAGAAAGCAACGTAATCGATTCTCTATTAGATAAAAAGGACGTGGATTTAAACCGGCGGGGCCCTCGATGTCGAACGTCATCTCTTACCAATTAAATTACCCCTTTTACAAACAGTCGAAGAAGAAGCTATCTAAATTTTCACCAGCCTGAGATGGGTATATTACAGACAGCTAGGCAAACCGATAAACCGACGGGCCGGTAGATAGGCTCCGATAGAGAAAATTGATTGGAAAACCCCTTACACTTCTAAAAGAGCAAAGCATCGCAAGAAAAACGGGCATTTATTCTTATACCATAGGAACCACAAATTCCACGTGCCGTTGAGACCCAGGAAGTGGCACTCAAGACGCACAAGCCACGAATCTACGTTCTCCCAACAGGATGCCGCGACAATTTTCATAGACGGGAACATGTTTGTAGGACACACTGGCGCATCGATTGCCAGCCTTTGACATAGAGCAACATCACAAAGACACTATTTGGGCACAGATTTCTAGCTCACCCATAGGCAGTATACACTACTGAGCTCAGCGGTATTGATATGGCACTAGCAGCAACTACTACTGCGATGATCGGACCTCAGGGAGGCAATGTTCTCCCGACTGATACTGCCTACTTTAAGAGGTAGTTGGATCGAATCCTTCAATTTATATTTGCGTTGTTTGCGTCATGGCCCAACAAAGGATCCTGCCTCAACCCATCCTTCTTTCTATCCTGCATAGGGAGACTCACAAAGGAGTATGTGGGGCTTAAAAACAACGATAACGACAAACGAATAGTCATAGCGACTATAGAGCTAGGTGTAGAAGACATTGTGTCTTGGTCAATGATGGGGGATGATTCTGTGAAGTGAGAAACTTAGCCAGAGTAGACAAGCACGCCGATCAACTTGCCAGGGGAACCACACTATCAATTGACACTGATGCAGTGATGCAGGAGAGGATATAGATTGAAGAGGGGAGAGTGAAGAGTAAGAAGTGAAGGTTAAGACATGGAAGATGTCGGGCGCACCCCATAGCAATCATTATATATTTCCTATATATGGGTATAGGCTTAAGAATTTTACAAGATATATAGGAAGGGGCTGATTCCACACCCTCTACGATTACCCTCTGTATAATCTTTGGGAGTGATCCCAACTCTGCGTTTGGACTCGAATTCTTGCTTCAGCTGGATGAAGTGCCTGCATAGTCAGTATGCAAGTAGTTAGACTACAACAGTTTAATTCAACTTTGATGGATTGATTTATAGAGGATCAGAGAGTGGTCCCATTGAAACTTTACATACACGGATACACATACAGACCCAGTACCTTGAAGCTTGTATATTGTTTTCTGTGACCCGTCAGAGGCTAGACGTCATACGATTTCATAGCACCATCTTCGCCCTAATATCCTGATTCAATAGAGTGCTGACCACGTCGGAAAACCAAATCCCCCCGCGGATGGCGAATCTTTTGATAGGTTAGAGGCAAATAACCATCAGCTAAAGATCTTGCCTCTTTCCTATTATCATCATCCAACTCCACCCTTGTCGCAGTCCCGAGGTATTGACGAAAGCAGTGGAAGTAGGTCATGGCCCACTTAACCCAATCGTTCAAGTCTTGCTCGAGGGTAGGAGCATTCCAATATGCTCTTGCTTCCATCGGCTGCTCAGCAATAATTTGAAACACTTTCAGGTTCGGAAGAAGTGAGGCCCATAAAGGGATGTTAGGTGTGCTGGATACACCACGATCAGTCATTAAGACCAACAAATTGCGAATCCTGTGTCGATTTCTTTCGGTAAAATTGTGCTCGAGGTCCCCTTCACCATCTCCATTCAAAAAGACTTGAAAAAGGTTTTCCCCATAAAGAATATCCAAAGCCTCTTCGCTGATTTCCCTTGATAGATGGAGGACGTTTAACCTGCTGTGGTGGGAGTTAAAAAAGTCGGAGTCATTGTCAGAAGACTCGATCCCACAAGCGAGCATTGACCGAGTGATACGAATCACCTGTTTTCGAGGAATTAGGAAGGAATATATAATTCGACGTATGTCAAATGGAAGATTGAGGAATCCGGAAGGTCCAAAATATGAATGTAGTTGTCTGATCTCGTCGCTCGCAATTTGCGGTGCATTCGTTTTTGGCATTTCAAATCGTTCGTGGGGCTTCTATATCAGATAGAAAGATCATTTCCAAGACTGCAAGGTCACAGTGGAGAGTGATCAATAACGTGACACAGAATGAGATAGAAACGAGGAGTTATGGGATGGTCAAGAGCTATAGAAAACCCTTGTTCACGTGAAGCACCAAAGAGAATTTCGAATGTTATTGAGGGAAGTACAAAATAGCCCCAGACGCCTAAATGATTATCCAATCTTCGGCTCCACCACCGAAGAGCGAGTCTATTTCAATATATTAGGTAGGCGCTGGGAGAAAGAGTCTTTCGGGTTATTGGTAATAATTATGCACCTTGAAAGCGTGAACACAAAAAACATAGTAGGACGTATCTATTTGATCCGTAGACCATGACATAAAGCAGCTTGACGCAAGGTGTGAAAGAGCACTTTGGTTGATGAAATAACTCGTAATTAAGTCCACAGGTAAATCAGCCCACTAGAAGCGACATACGTTCCTCGACACAGCACCGCAAAAGGTTAAAACTTGTCCGAAGAAATATGTGCGATTTCTTTACAAAATGACTAAGCTTTATCCGCACCTGTTCTACGCATCTGAGAAAGGAGTTCATAGAATGTCGGGTAAGTGCTCGGAGTGTGCCTGGCCCCTAAACGCATCTATTGGCTGGCTATAGTAACCACCTATCAGCCGAACATGTGTTTGGATCCACCTAGCAATGTGACAGCCACGCCCCTGGGTTAAGAAATTGCTCCACATAGTGGGGCAATCTAATTCACGGCTACTTTATCCGGCCAATCATGAAGATCGGAAATTAAGAGAAAGCAAGATAGATCGAACTGCCCTCGCATAATTTTAACGTCTTACCTGCATATTTGGGTTTTATATTGAAATTCCCCTGATTCCGGCTAGGGAGCCGAGATGATAGAATGCGACCATGATGTGGAGCCGGAGATCGGCATGCAACTTCTTAACACTAAAGATAGAGAGGGTGAGTATTGAACATTTGACTTTGTAAGCATACCTAATATGGATTTGGCTCTCTCCTCACCATGTAGTAGTAAGTCAGCTCTAGGGTCTAGTCAAATCTTATCTGCTACTTGTAAAGATATAGTGGACCATGCCATGATAGTTACAACTTACCATTCACTTAGATATAGAGGCAGTCTTCCATAGGTTACAAACTATACAAACAAACTAATTGTGTACATAATTCAGCTGGTTTAGGTGGTTTATGATCGCCAAGATCCCTTTTATACAAATACTGGGTCGAACTGGGCCTGAACTGGGTTTTCTGGGGCCCCAGTCACTGGAGTGCGGAAGTCTAACTATAGGAAACTATTAAGAAAAGAATGATCCTAAAGTAAATTTTTAGGAGGAAAAGAAAATGAATAAAAAGACGACAGTGTAGATTATTATTGATAGCTAATGCTTTCGAATTCCACCAAGTACAAAAGGAGTGGACGATTGTCTATTGAGAACAAATTGAACAATCAACAAAGGTAGTTCGAAGAGACCCCCGAGACCCCTAAGACCCCCGAGACGCCGAGTCAGCATCACCCGCCGAGAACAAGATAACATTTTAGTCATGGTGCTTGTATGCATCGTCAGAGACAGCAACGCACTATAAAAGGACCAGATTAGTATGAGACTATAAACGAGGATAATAGAGAGTAGGTTACCTTGTTGCCATTGCCTGGGCAGCAGGCGACAGTGCCTTGGCATACTGCGCCTTGGTTTTTGTGGTTGTAGCAGTTTTTAGTATCACCGCCCATGCTTAGGGTACCAAGGAGTCCGTCAACGGTACCAACAAGGCCAGCAACAAGTGTGTCCAACTGTCTCTTCTCGGTGCTGATATAGATGTCCGAACAACAGGCGAAGATCTGATTGCCGCATTGTGGGCTGACATCGACGCTACCAGGATTACTGGTAGCATGCTTCCCCTTCGGGGCTTGGGATAGCAGCCACGGCCATAGCCAGGGAGAGAAGACCGGCAATAGTGAAACGCATCTTGATAGGTATTGGTTTGGAAGGTATGTAGGTTATAGATAGTAGGTAGTAATGTAAAGTTGAAGAGATAATGAGATGGTTGATGAGAGGCGTTGGCTGACGTCTAAACATCCTTTTATAACTATATGCTAGGTAGATCAAATACCCTATTAAGAGTATAACATTAGGAGAGTCAAGATACATTCCAATCCTACTTAAGCCTCTTTGCTTTCATCCCCCTATATATCTCCTTCCTTCCGGCTAATTGTATCCGTCGAATCACAAGGTACGAACCTTCATTCTATCATTCCGATATCATCCAACCCTTCTAGTAGTACAATCCAGATCCAGGGGATACTCTATTATTACTGTAGTTTACATCCCACTACTCTGATCTATAATTAGTCTATTCTCGGTTACCTAAGGTCAAGCTACTAGTTAGTTACTTGATAACCTCATGTTAGTATTTTGCTTCCTTGCTGTGGCTGGCCTCAGCTTCTGGCCCACATAGCTACTTTCTATAACCCCGGGACGCCTTGTCTGACTGCTTCCTCTATAAAATTTCTGAAGCCGCGTGGGAGAGCAGCCTTGATGACTATACCCTTTTTGATGTTTAGCCAGTTTGTACGTATCCTAGTCCTCGTTGTATCGCAAGGTACTGACACAACATGTAGCGAGAATACTTGACAGCCTCACTGCACTCTCAGTCTAGCCCATGGTGTCGATTCGTGCGTACCCTGTTGTAGGATTTCGGTCATATGATTCACTTTGTCGGCAACCTTTAGGATGGTTGTTTATTGCGGTGGTATTGGGAGATTCTCTGCCACAAAGACGTCCAATCTGTCGGTGTCTATGGCCTTCTAAAGTCATCTCTTTGCCTTATTCACTAGCGCAGTCGAATATCATACGAATTGATAGCTAATCAGAATCCGTATGATAGTCTAATGCTAGTTTGCATACCTCCAGTCTCTAGATGAGATCTATTGTACGGAAGAGTAGCGTTTGCTCTATATTATAGTCCCTCGTGATCATACCAGATTCCAGTCACAGGTCAGGATCAGTCTCATCACATATATCAATGAGCTTGTAGCATATTGTATCTTATGTGGCCTCGATGCCTCCCACGCGGAGTGGTGTAGATCGAAGTCGCCGGCAATCATGGTATTCTGTTGCCAGGTGTTACCTAGCAAGTTTCCGATATGTCTCACTATACTCATGGTACCGCACTCGTTATATATATTAAATAGGCAGATCCGGTGTACTCCAGTTTGAATCCTTACTTCCTGGCAAATTTTACACAGTGCATAGTGCGCCTGGTCAGTGCTAACTCTTTTGGAGATATATATGCACACACTTGCTCTGCTACCTACCTCTGCGCTGGACGGGAAGCGCAATTCATGTGTCTGGTTTAGTGAATAGCATGCGATTTTGTTTTATGGATTTGCTTATGGGTCTTGTACTGTAATTATATCCGCTTAGATGACCCCTGGCTGCACTAGTTAAGGTTTGCCATGGCAACATCTCTTGATCGGTGGGTGTTGCATTGAATGATGGCGAAGGGCGTATTATTTATTGGGCTTGTCTTTGTACCCATTTTGGTGAATTGGATGGCTCTTCTCTGTTCCTGGATACCTGCTCTGTTAGTGAACTTTATCGATGGGGCCGACATTTTGAGATTGACCATTGACCTCGTCGTCGAGAGTGTGTTTGTTCTTGCCCGGAGAGCTAGTTGTGTGCGTTGCTACGTCAGTTTTGAATATGGTGGCGGTCCCTTGCCGGTGGCCTTCTACTTACTGGTTGACATACGTCTTTTTCCGCTAGTTTGAGATAGCACCTATGGCTTGTATTCGCCGACGACGATGGTGTGTCTGGAAATACTGCGTCTTAATCTTCGAAAATGCATGGCTGACCTTTTGGTTGCTTCTGTATTTTACGTGCATCAATGAATGTCCTAACGAGGCCTTTGCTCATAGTTGTCGCTGACTATAGCGTCAATGCCCGGCTGAGTACTATGCGCCTTGGTGTTTCACTGCGTTTTCACGCCTGTGCGTGGTTTCGCTGATTGTAGCTCCTATTGTAGCTCCCGGGCCTCCTACATCTTGGCATCCTTCGATGATGATAGTTCTTTGTTGCCTTTGATACGCTTTGTCTTCCATTTCTACAGCTTTCTTCTTTAGAAGTCCCGTAGCCGCTACCTGCTGAACTCCCAGATCCCATTGTTGTGGATGCCGGCATCGCCTGCATGGCCTACCTGATTGAGAGCTATACTGGCACCCGGTGGCGTCGCTCGCTTGACTATGCAATAACCATTTTCTCTCTCTATCTCTCTGATAAGTCGGGGTATCGCTTCAACCGTCCCCGCAATTAGCGCACTTTCGTTCACTGAGAGTTGCATCCTTTTTGTGCTAATATTCTCGAGATTTATACTTTTCAGCGCAAAGGATATACTTTGTTTCGCTGGAATAGGTGCTTCCTATGTAGTTGTATCTTTGTCAGTTGTGGCATTATCGTATACACGCAGCACAGTCGTACAAGACCGTGATAGGAACCTCTGAGTCTCAGAGAGCGCTAGTATCGATTGCATTGTTCAGAGTATACGGTGAGGTGAATTCAATAATCAAGGAGCCCGGTTTCTTGCCTTTTAGCAAGACAAGCTATGAAATCTAGGTGATCTCCGTCTCCTCCTAGTTAATGGGTTCCCAATAAGCAATTGCTTGATAATACCCAGCTTCCAGTCCGTGATATGTACCGCAATATTGATACTGAGAAGGTGCATATTAACATCGTGTATAATCGCGCCCTTTGTTGGCACACGCCCTCTAATCGCTTCCGTAAATACTTCACCCGGCAGTCACGATAATATTTTCACGGCCCCTTGAAAGGGGCAGCCACTGGCTTCTCGGAACCATGATACCTTGCATCAATATTAAGTTGGTATTAGGATATAGAGCTGGGATTTAAGATTAACATGCCTCTATAATGGGAGCCGCAGCTCTTGGCGCTGTGGTGCAATTTCAGGATTACATTGCGCAAATAGATGTGTTTTTTTAGTTAATGCACTATTTCTGTTCAAAGAACTTACTGATAACACATTCAGGGAAATATAAGGAAGAAAATAATGTCTAAATGATTGGAGAGCAACGTATATTATTATTGATAGCTGCTTTCGAATTCAACCAAGTCTATTAGCCGAATATAGGCACATATTAAAGCCTCTATTCTATGATATTTATATCTTTTATATTTTTTAGACAAACTCATAGTATATATAAACCTATATGTGAAGCCTGTATAATTTTATCTATTTTATTTAATTCTTTGGAAGGGGTTGAAGTTTGTCAACTGGATCGGTAGCTTTGGTTCAAAATTCCGAATCGGGTTAGCGTTTGGTCGAAAATTCCCAAAAGGGAAGCTTTGGTCTAAAATGCAGAAGTTATCATCTGAACTGAACTTCTGCATTTTGGACCAAACCGAACTTCTGCATTTCCGACCATCGCCTACTCCCACAAATTTGACCACGCCATATATCTGTTTTAAGATAAAAAAGATACCAATTGGTCCTTCTAATAGTTAATTACTACTATATAAGTATAATTTCTGCTTATTAAGGGAGAATATAGTCTGAAATGTAGTAGTTGGGTATAGTGTCAAGTACTATGCATTTATGCATGCTGAAATTACCAGGTCTTTACAAACCGGGAAATCAATGGACCGTCATGATAACGGTACCATACAAAAATACATACATTGCTTAATCAGCTATGTCCGCCGAGATTGGAAAAGAGCGGATCTTGTCATTTTAGTTAGTTAGAGAATTTACATATGTCAGATTTACCATACATTGTCGTATCCGTCTATTTCTGTCAGTTATGAGCCCGGTTTCGTTCCAATTAAGATCTGTCTACAACATATAGACCATCTTTTACCTAGCTGTCGCCGATTCACAGTGGTTTTGACAACGGTCAACCCCTGAATCGTCGAAGCACCCCTATCTCCTTCGAAGAAGATCAGATTCATCGACGAAAATCGACAATAATGAATATCATGTTAAGCCTCTCCGCGGCCTCCTCCCGCGTCATTTTGAAGGATACAGAATCATGGGATGCATGGCTCTCATATATTAAAGCAATTGCAGTTGCATATAAAGTATGGGATCAATGCAATCCGTCTCTTAAGGAGGAAGAACGTCCTAAATTGGAACCACCTGAAGAGATCATCTCTGTCAAAGATGCCATAAAAGAATACCCAGAACACTGGTTCAATGTGAGGCTATCCCTAAAAGCAGATTGGGATGCAGAGAACAGAGCCTATCAGTCGAAACTACAGGCATTAGATCTAGTGGCGGTGGCAATTAGGCAGTCAGTTGATACTCCCTACCAGCCCTTTATCATTGATATACCATCACCTTTGGAGCTGATGCTCAATCTCCACAAACGATTTGCACCAGAGAGCGATCCTACATACAAAACTAAGCTCCGTCAACAGTGGCGGAACCTAGATAGAGGCCTAGATCGGAACACCGATATCGAGAAATGGCTTCTAAACTGGGAATCGCTTTACCAATCGTGTAAGAAGGCAAGGATGCCAGAAGCAGAGGATGCCACGAATCAATTCCTTGAAGCAATCTCTATAATGTCGCCTGGATTCTATGAAACATGGGCTCTCAGAGTACAGGATAATCAGGACATCCCTTTCTTCGAAATCATGACTCGGTACAAAGCCCACTGGAAGATTACCCATGGCAGGCCGGCTGCGCAAAGAGGCATCTCAAAGGCTGCTTTCTCGACATGGCAAGGCAATGAAGAAGCAAAGCCTATAGAGGCAAGGAATGATGGCCTAGAAAGAAGGCCATGTCCATGTGACAGGGTAAAATCGAGAGTTCATATGCCTTGGGCCTGCTGGGAAATCTATGAAGATAGAAGGCCTGCTAATTACCAGCCCTCACCGGCATTGAAACAGAAGTGGGAGAAGGCCATGAAGGCTAATCCTAGATGGAAGGCAATTGTCGACAAGAAGCGAGCTGCATATGCAGAAGGCCAAGGGGGGACCCTTGCTAAAGAGCAAGCGAATACAACCCTCGACGATGAAGCCTTTGGCTTCTTGACAACCAACGCAGTCAAAATTGACACCGTTATGTCAACAAAAATCAAGGATTTTGAAGCCACAACTACACCTACAGAAGACAGATGGGTAGTTGATACAGGTGCTCAAATCCACGTATGCAACAATCGGAGCTTGTTTAGCACCTTTAAAAGCGTACAGAGCAACGTCAAAGTGGGAGATACAGAGACGAAGGTGGCCGGTATAGGCACTGTGGTCATCTATGGTGTAAACCCTACCACTGGAAGCGCCGTTAAGATGAACCTATTTCAAACTAGGTACTCGCCAAACTTCCATAGTAATCTGATATCTCATGGATTGATGATGAAGGGGGGCCTATTAATGAATCTCAGAGCAAACTGCATTGAGACAATTGATGGCCATCGTCAGATCTATAAGATCTACCACGATCAGAAGCTATCATGGCTCACCCAGACAAGGGGTTTTATAACCCAAAAGGCATCAGATTTGAAGCCTGAAATGACGTTTGCCACTAAGAAATCCAATCAGGAGCCAAAATCTGAGGCTTCAATTGAGCTCTGGCATCGTCGATTAGGCCACATTGGCAAGGCGCGAATTGTCAAACTGGCAGAGATGACTGAAGGAATCACTATTGCAAGCAACCCAGGCAAAGAAATGCAGGTATGTGAAGCTTGTCAATTGGCAGATGCACCTAGGCAAATCTCTCGCCGGAAGATAGGCCAGGCATATGGTATATTAGGGAGAGTACACTTCGATCTAGTACAAAACCAGCCTGCCTACAACGGTCATATATGGATGACGCACTTCTATCTCGATGGAATAAGGTGTCACTTCGTATTTACCCATATAAAGAAGAGCGAGTGTCAGATGGCAGTTCGTAAATTCTTAGCATTGATCCGAAACTGGTTGAAAATCGAGATCAGGGTATTTCATTATGATAATGAGAGAAGCGCCGGCAATGAGGTTGAATCTATGATTGAAGACGAAGGGTGTACCATTGAGCATGCACCACCTGGCTTGCCAGAGATGAATGGACCAGCAGAGAGATCTGGAGGCATGATAGTAAGGAACGGCAGAGCATTGCTCAATGGTACGAACCTACCCCACAATCTATGGCCAGAGACGATGTATGCATCTGCATATATGATGAATCGTACCCCTACAAAGATGGATGGTAAGTGGATCATACCATGGAAGGAATTGATGCGCTATGCGGCTCCAGATGGCTTAAAAGATCAAATTGTCAACCTGTCGAATATGAGGCTATATGGGTGCTTAACGTACTCAAGGCTTCTGAAGAGAGTACAATCTAACAAGATGGCTCCGAGAGCAGAGATCGGCTATCTTGTAGGCTATGTTTCAAAGAGCCTATACAAGATCTGGTTTCCATACAAAGGGCGAGCAGGCATAGGCAGAGTTGAAGTTGTAAGAGATGCTGTATTCGATGAATCGAGACAGTACTCTAAAACGAAGCCTTTACCGCAAGAAGAAGATGCAATTAGTACTATGACAAATGGACTAAGCGCTAAGAACTGGCCCCAAGTGCTCTCAATGGAAGAAGCGCAGTCAGAATTGAGCATAGAGATGCGTATGCCGATGTCAATTGCTCGCATAACTCTCAATGATGACGTCGAAAACCGAGAACAAGGTACTGCACCAGAGGCGGTAAATGAAGAAATCCAGGAATCTAGAGTTGTGGAGCAAGCTCAAACTCTAGATAGTAGGGAGGAGACACCAAGGGTCCCCCCTTTAAAGGAAACACCTGTTTTACCTTTAACACCGGCTTCAATGGCAGGCCCTGCTTCAGTGGTAGAACATATCTCAATGATAGAGGTAAGGGATCAAGAACAGATCCCTGGGAGCTTCCCTATGTCACCACAGAGAGCCTCACCACAAAGAGCACTATCGTCGATTGCTACGATTGAGAGTACGCCACATGAGAGATCTCCTACCTCGCTATCTTCGCCAGATCCGATCAATGTCATACAGTCGATCGAAGCTGAAGGGGGAGAGGGAGATCAATATGATGAAGATGAAGCAGAGATAGAGCGTCAATTGCAACAAGAGATGCAGTATACGCCTACTCCAGAGCCAGAAGATCGGCCTACTAGAGAGATCTCTGCGTCAATTGATGAATCTAACATCATCTCAGGCCCCAGAATACGGAAGCCAAAGGCAGATCCAGACTACACTGCATATCTATCGCTAGACGAGAAACAGCTAGCCGAGCCACCAAGCCTTCTATATGCCTTTACAACAGGTATTACGAAGAAGCTCAATATGCAAAACAGACTGCATAGAGATCAGATGCCTCCACCACCAGAGAACTGGAAGCGGCTAAAAATCCATCCCTTTGCCACGCAATTGAAGGCAGCTGCGGAGTTTGAAATTGAGACCTTAAAGGCTAAAGAGACCTTCTCTCAGGTTGCATTACCGAACAAAAAGAGCACCCAGATCTTGCCATTGAAGTGGGTATTTACATACAAATTTGATGCAGATGGT